TTCGAGATCACGGACAAGTTGCTTTTCCTCAAATTCGGTGTCGTCCTATACCAAGGAACGTTGCACCATCCTGACCTTGGCACCCACTCTGTAAATTTGGAACCTCTAACCTACTGCGTCAAATTAGTGCTCTACAGTTAGGACTAGTCATAAGTTGAAGACGAACGCCACAGTAGCTTCTCGGAAGCCAGGGTATATGACATCCACGTCAACGCTCTGGTATTGTCCGTAAACGCATCTGATTAGTTCCTTCTACCACCTTCTTTTTCACTCACGCCCTGCTTTTAAGGTAAAGAACAAGGATTCTCCAAGCCTCTGCAACCATTGTTTTCCTAATATAACCTATTGATTATAGTCGGAGAATGGCCCACTCCATCATTAAAGCCACAATACGGAGGTGGAAATTTGTAAACTGAGACTAGCGTGAGTGATTGCACCAAAAACAGCGTTATCCGTTAGTGTATAGTTCGGCCTCCTTCGTGTAAGGAAGAACACTCTCCCCCACGACGTCTCTGATGACGACGTCTGACCTCTAGTGTAGGGAACAAATGGAGAGGTTTCAGGCCTCTCGGTATGTTTCTAACAGTTGTGCTCCCGGGTATATACGCAAGAATTAATGTGAAAGTTTTCTTTCATTATAACATGTAGATGATAGTGATGACAAGTATATCAAGTGGTGACAAGTTTACCGATGAGATACTTCCTATGCACTGATCAGTTAGCAAGCATGTAATGGCACGACATTTTCTGGTTAAAATCTGTTAGGGGGCCGGGTGGTTAAGCAATTAGTATTATTATTATTGTTGTTATTATTATTATTATTGTTATTATTATTATTATTATTATTATTATTATTATTATTATTATAGTAAATAATGGCGAGGATTCCTTCATCAACGAGTAATAGCAATGTCTCACCTATGTAATTAAATTCTCTTCTGGCCTGGAACGTTTCGAATATCTCGATTCTTATTGAGGGTAGGGTAGGTGACCGGCGACTCTGGGGAATTTCTCTAGTACATCCTTGGTGGCATTAGCCCACTTTAAGGTACACTGGAATGATTTTCACAACAATTTCGTGCACATTCTAGTCAAAATCTTCTAGTCAATGCAGTTACAGGTCCCTCTGAAATGCCGCCATTAATTTTCGGTTGTTTTTGCAAAGATTTTTTCTGCCAAGAGTCGCATCTCTGTCTCCTGAAGTCACTAGATCACGTTGATGATTTATTCTGGAATTGCTTGATTTTCTCATAAGAATTCGTCGATTTTTTGGAATGCCGTGAAATTCAAAGTTCATTCCGCAATGACCTTCACACACCTGCAATGACCTTCACACACCTGCAATGACGTGCACACACCTGCAATGACGTGCACACACACCTGCAATGACGTGCACACACCTGCAATGACGTGCACACACCTGCAATGACCTTCACACACCTACAATGACGTGCACACACCTGCAATGACCTTCACACACCTGCAATGACGTGCACACACACCTGCAATGACGTGCACAAACCTGCAATGACGTGCACACACCTGCAATGACGTGCACACACCTGCAATGATGTACACACACCTACAATGACGTGCACACACCTACAATGACGTGCACACACCTACAATGACGTGCACACACCTCAAGTAACATGTGCATTGAATAATTTCTCGGAAATTAAACGCTTATTGCATCAGGATTCTGGTCATGGAACCGGGAGATCCAGTCAAGTTCGTTACTCATTGCTCAGCAACAGAGCATACGTTGCATTCATACGTTGCATTCATACGTTGCTCTGTAATACAGTATTCACACACTGTTCATAAACGCTGTGTTAAACCACTGTTAATTAATACGATGTGTTTGTGTTACCGAGTTCACATTAAAAATAATGAAAATTTAAAAGTAATTATTTCCTTATTATGACTTGATTCAAATTTTTATCTATTTTGATTTATTTTCTGTGCAACTTTTAATATTCATGGAGACAGAGTTTAAAAGTATTCATCGCAAGAACAGTTTTTTTCTACCTATAGTTCATTTAATTGAAGAAATAAAAAATTAAAATTTTAATTACATTGTTTTCTTTCATTGTATTTATTCTGTTAAATCAGAATAACATTGACGTAGTGTTACTCGTATTAGCGAAGAAAAAATAATTCCCGTTTCTATTCATCATTCTGTATTTAAAAATTCGTACCCACTTATTTAACAAGGCCTTTCTCACATTTTCCTGCTTTCACGGACGTTCCTTAGAAATCCCCCCAGCTTCCTGAACAGAGCGTCGATCTGTAAAAGATCTTGCTCAATAATAACAGAGATAAGTATAGCAAAATCAGCTAGTATGCATAGGGGATGTTACCTCTGCGACGGGCATTGGAATCTAGGAGGATGAAACTGGACTATATAAGGCAGATGACTGAGTGACCTGAGCATTTCACAGCCACATCCCGAGGTGTTCGGATGTCTTCAGAGCTACTCGTGTGCCAATAATATAATTAAATGTTTGGAATATAATCAATGCAATAAATTCAAATTTGCAAATTTATTTTATTAAAAAAGTCAACGAACATTTATATAAATAAATATAACTGTTTTCAAAGCCAAGTGAAGCAAGAAGGAAAATCTTGACGCTAGGTAAAATCGGAAATTTTTGCACACATATCAGGCCCGGATTAACACTAGTTAAGTAAAAAATAACTTACAACGAACATAAACATAGTGAACGTTTTTCGTGTCACCGATAGTTAAACGGAATATACCGTCTCCACTGCAACCAACTTCGGTCGCCAGTTATTGCCAACTAAATAAAAGGTGAGAACGATATCCATGCGATGTAGTTACAAAATATTCAAATTAATAATCTTTGTATTCCATGCTTAATCATTCGTTGCCTATTCTAATTAGGCGATCTCTTTACCAACGAAAAAATTTAAGTAATTATATATTCTAAATTCCATAGTCTCCAATGAACCACGTGTTTTTTATCACATAAAAATCGTAGAAAACGAAAGCTGACATTTATATTTTCATCTAACTATATGACGCGAGACATTTTATATTAAAATCAGAACTTTTTTCAACTGGTGTTGAATTAAACAATAAATCTATTAACAGCGGGCAGTCTGCCCCCTTGTGGCGAAGTGGTCAGGGCTAATAAGACGCGAACAAACTTTCCGGGTATATGCCCAGGCAGGTGCCCTAGCCGCATCCTTATGTAGCGATTACGGCGATCGTGTGATGCCCTCATAGATTACTACAATAATCTTCTAATGCGGTAGTCGCTTAGTAGGGCGATCATGTAATGTCCTGATAGAGAACTACAATAATCTTCTAATGTGGTAGTCGCTTAGTAGGGCGATCATGTAATGTCCTGATACATTACTGTAATGCGGTGATCGTTTATTAGGGCGATCGTGTAATGTCCTGATAAATTAATACAATAATTGTTTATTACGGTGATCGTTTATTAGGGCAATCGTGTAATGTTGTGATAGTTTCCTACAATGATCATTTAAGTGAATATACATTGAATGATCTGTGAATGATTGATAAATGACCAGTATCAGTGTCAGGGAAAGATTAGCAAATTTTCAGTTAAAAATCAACGAGTGATCTGCGAATGGATAATTAATAATCAATGAATGATTTGTGAATGATCGGAACTCGCATGAATGTGACCGTTGCGCAATAAGATCATTTGTTCATTTTTTAAAGTTTCAATTCGAATTATTTTGGTCAAAATATATGACTTCGTTAATTTTTTTCAATTTCAGGACCCCTTCAATAGCCTTGTTGAATGAATCAAATTTTTAAATTACACTTATTTCTCAATCATACAATAATCCGACCGTTAATTTGATGAATCATTCATAATAATTTATTGTTTTTCCGCCTACTGAGCCCGGCTATTCTTCATATCCTCATTCTAAATACCGCAGTCGGAAAATAACTTAAAAAAATTATGAAGATTTCGCCAAAGGAAACATTTGAATTGTTTCCATTCATTTTCAGTAGTCGCTCAACAATGACATGGCATTTTTTTCCAATAGTTCTGTATGATATGAAGCTGATATATGCAAAAGCGTGAATTTTTCTTTCGTTATTTTATACTAATATTTATTTATTATTATTATTTACTTTTACATCGTGAAAAATTGACAGATTATAACTAATAAACAGCAAATAAGATGAGTTACTATCCGAGAAAAACTGGTTTTAATTTTGTGATGTGAATAGGAATAGACAAAAACTAATGATCAGCAAAAGAAGAGCCTTTATATAAGAAAACAGGTTTTAAATTATGATTTTTTTTCTATTTCATAGATATATTTCCACGCGATGCCTGCTCGCTGCTCGACCCTCGCAACGCTGCTCGTAATTTCGATGGTAATGTCAGCAACGTCAGCCAGACCCTCTACATCAACGTCAGCCAGACCCTCTACATCAACACCAGATCCGGTCAATATGGAAGATCAATCAAAATCCGATTTCATTTTCGATGAACTAAATTATTTTACCAAATTATACAATCCAGACTCTCCAGCCAACCTACAATTAAGGAAAAGCTCCTCTGATGGGTCGACTAATTCCATCGTGAAAACAGATTTCACTTCAAAAAATAGGATGGAAATTTTTTCAAAAGGAGTGCCAACACAGGAAGAAATTTTTATTAATTTTGGAAGCCGTCTTGCCGAACCTTCCGTCTTTGCTTTCCTACAAAAGAATGTGTCTCCAAAAGAAAAAACCAACCACAAGTCGGTCGAGAACTTGAAAAACTTACATAAAAATATTCATAAGAAAAAAAGCATACAATCCGAACAAGTGTCAAATATCATTGCTGTTGAACAACAAATTGATAGAGCAGAAGCCAGCTTGGATAAAGAAATGTTTGGAAAAATAATGGCGAAATATTTCTCGTTTTTAAATTACATTAACGGTAAACAAAAGGAAAAAATTAATAAATTTGAAAAACTGCAGAGAGTAGACCAGGATAGTTTTACCTCACTTAAATCCAAGAAGTGGTTCGAAGAAAACTTCGGTGTCCGCAGAATGGAAGGGGTAACCACACAAGAAATCTTTGTATTGCCACTCGAGTTATTGACCGAGGCTTATATGGTCGGAAAAGAAGATTTTGAAGCTCTTCTAAGATCAACCGACAGGAAATTAAAGAAAAATAACCCTACTGCACCAGTTGTAAAGAACTGGAAAGACAAGAGTGAAAATATCGACCAGATTTTCAAACAATTATTAAAGAGGAAATCCGAAACAGAAAGTCCTGATTCCAACCCTGTGATGTCTGAAGACATGCTCAATTCACACGGACAAAGCAATGTTAAAAACAAGGAAGTCAACAATGCATCATCATCAAAACGACCATCACCATTCTTGAGATGGAGTTTAGCTCAACTCTATCATGAGTTGTTCAAATTACTAACCGCCCTTGATCATCTAACAGGTTCCGTTCAACAATCACTGAGCGATTCACAGGACAAAGACAGCAGTTTAGCTGATGAATCCATCGGTTTGAGTGCCCAAAACGAACAGTATTTCAACACTCAGAATTACCTAGATGATTCAATACAGTCTTCCTATTCTAAAGATCTTTCGAACTATGAAAACCCTGAAAACTCTGACCGACCTATCCTCCACGACCCCCCAGCACTACTCACCGACAAGACACTTCCCAGGAAAATAAGTACACAGGACGAAGCGTCTCCTCTCTATGCAAGCAGTTCAAAGACAGAAAAAAGTTCCCTCCGGAGCAAGAAGCCAGCCAGCAAACTAAAGACCGAGATGAAGAGATGTAAGTACCTGGTGGACATAATTGTAATTGTCTTTCGACTGTCTTTCAGTAACATTATTGTCTGAATTATAATAGATCACGCTGTTTTATTTACTGATGTATTTACTACTAATGATGAAGTTGACATTAAAACATCCATTCATATGTTTGATCTCAGGTATCAATGTATATAACTACACTAATTTTTCATAAAATAACTCCTCGAAGAAGTAAAATCGAGATTCCTCTGAATTTCAATTGAGAAATTGCTAAATGACTCCTCATGGAAGCAATTAAAAAGAAATTTTGTGTCACGGGAATATAAATTATCTTTGAACCATTTTATTAAATGTACTTAGATATTCACTTTAATTTTTTTCAGTAATGTGTCACTTCAAAATTTGCAACATGGGCTGAAGATTACAACCTTGAGACAACAGTTGCAAGCAACGTCGACATGCTCGTCCAGCTCAATATTACAGAATCCGACAGAAACTTCACTGAAGATTTTCACATCATCAAACCAATGAATAATAATTAATGAAGGTGTAAAAATTAATTTACTTGAATTGAAACGAAAACGTCTTAGAAAATAAACTCGGATAAATATTTACACGATGAAAGCAACGCATGCGAACTGACTACTATCTTCTCTAATAACTCGGCATGGACGTGAAAATGGTGCATTCTCAAATTTTGAGTCTCAAGACAAAAACATTATGTTCTGTCCGAGAATCCAGAATTTAGCAGCTAATACCTAATGAATTGTTGAAGCTATGTTAATTTTTTAGAATCTGTTATTTGAGCTGAACTTTGTTATAAGTATTAAAATTACTTGCGTGGTTTTTTTTTCACGCAAAAGATATTAAAAACTTCCATTAAAGTTTTTAGAACGTTGACAGAAATGGTCCGAAATTTCTATAAAACTTCCCAACAGTTCCATACATTTATTGAAAGCATATTTAAATATTTGCATTCATAAACAGTTCGCTTGGTGAAGAATTAATAGTTTTCATTCCTGCATCGTAGATTTAATTATATTCTTTAGAATTCTATGAAGAAATATCAGAAAACTAAATATTAGGATTCCTTAACAGTACAAACAAGAAATAAAAATTATGTTTTCTATAATATTTTCGCTAAATATCACGTATAAAATCAAAAAGCGTATAAGATATAATTGTACGAAGAGATTTCATTGTAGGTGGAAGAATAAATATCTTTTTATGGGCAATAATGTAAGTCTGATGCTAGTCTTTAAAAATAAGATTTTCTGATCTCTTCGAATTCAATGTTTTTACGTGAATCAATATACACGTTTGTGCAGTAAATTAATCTAATTTAATTTTCATGTGAATGATGTTTTAATGTTAAGTGATAATGATTAGATACTTACTTTGCTTGAGTAACATTATTTGACATAAAAACATTGCGACCAACATTATTCACGATTTTAAATTTTTTTTTACTTCAATAGATATTTTTGAAATTTTGTATTTGGTTTCTTGAAATTTCAGGCAAAGCAATCTCGTCTTAGAGAATATTACCTTTTTATCGTCTCTTGAAAAAAAGGAATAAACTGCACTCACTAGTTTTATTTCAAAAGTCATTAATGATGCAGTAATAAGCTTAGCATTAGATAATATTCTGCTAAAATTAAAACAATGCTGTACATTGCGGAAGCAATTCCTGAATACCGCCATTGAATTTCCGGTGGCACCTTCTAAGATATAATCATTTGAACATTTTATTTTATGGGAGCTATATCGATGGCGATCATTACTATTATCATAATTACGTAAGAATATTTATTTTAGAAAACTAAAGGAATGCGTACGAGTGTAAGTTGTTTCATCATTGACATACTTTTTTTAAAAAAATATATTTGTTATTTACAAGTTCTTCAAGTTAGGTTGGCGGATTAAGGAAGTGAAGTGAAAGATAACTTTTCCATGCAACATTTTATTCTACTTGATTCGTATTGAGTGTATCAACATTATTTAAGTTATTAAAATTATTCATGAAGTTATTACAATCTGTCATTCAGTTATTATAATCATTTATTAAGTTATTACAATCATTCATCAAGTTATTGTAATCATTAATTCAGTTATTACAATCAACGAGCTTCGAGATTTTGAAAAAAAACTTGAGATAAAACTTATGTAAATTGAATTTGAATTCGAACCTCGTTAAATCCATAACCAAGTTATAAGATGAGTTTAATTATGGTGGACTTGAATGCACGAAACTATTATGTAGGATCGTGATTAATCCAAAGTCATAATTAATTCCTTACGTTGATTGTTTTGAGCGGCATAACTATGCTGGAGTTCTTCACAATAGTTCTCTCAGACTGAATGATCACAAACAAACAATACGCTAAATAATTGTTACGTTTGCAAGAATGCATTCGCATTCAGTCATAGGGGATAATATTCAATGTGCCAACTACTAATATAACCACTTTAAGTTCTAATCGTAATAAAAATAATAAATTTATCTATGACTTTATCTAAATTTGTCTAAGTTTTTTAATAATAACGAGCTTTATACGTCAACATGGCAATAATTAATAATAATAATAATAATAATAATAATAATAATAATAATAATAATAATAATAATGTTTATTGGTGAACGTTGCAATAATAATAATAATAATTACGAGGTTTATTATTCAACGTGGCAATAAAATATTCTGTAGAAACAACTGGACGTCACCGCGCAGGAAACTGTGCGCCGCAACAGCATAAAAAACTGAGCGCTACGATGTTTTTATGCTGTTTTTTAACCAGCCAAATTTAAAGGAAATATTTGAGGAAATTCCCTGAAAGACTTTTGCAGTCTACCCTAAAAAAGTCAGATCCGCTACATTATTGGTGCGTAGAGGCTGTTCATTGCAGTTGCTCTATAAATCATTTATTATTTTACGCATACTTTGATAATTAATTTTGTATTTTTTAATTGTGGTTATTATTTAATACATTTTATATATTATACATTATATATTATATGATGGAATGATTTTTTGGAGGATGTTGATGTAAGCATCAGATATTTCCCAGATTTAATTCATTAAAAATTTTCTGTCAACAAAGAATGATTTTTAAATCCATGCACCCTCTTAATTGTATTGAAGAATTTATGCGACGCTGAACAATTCCTTTCAGTGACGTAACTTTTGATAGGTTGCTGTAAAAGTTAAACAGTGTGCATTTTTTATTGTTTCCTTCAAGTGTTAATTTATTAATGAAAATGTATACATAATTTAGAGTTACAGAAGAATGTTATCATAATTGATATGATGGTGTTGTTGTGCAGATGTGGGGTATTTTTTATTATTTTTTATTTCCAACCTAAACTATATTTCAGAGAATACTCAAATTGAACATTTCCCTGACATGTGAAATCCAAGAATTCATTAAAAATAAAAAAATGCGTATTATGTGCATAGACCAACAATAGAACATCATAAAAATGAAATTTTTAAGATGTAGTTTTATTTTATACCTCGCGCTGGTTCATTTTTTCAACCCGTCAAGTACGACGAGGAAAAAAGTCTCCGAAATGACGATAAAAAATTCATCATCCCCCCTGACTGATACGAAAAATTTTACAACAAAATCCGGTTTGGTAAACACGATCAATGAAACACGCAATGAAGGCTCCGCTGTCAGTGAATTTAGCGCTTATAACAGACAACATAAGTTTCTGTTCTTACAACAGAATTATAACAACACTAAAAAAAAGTTTCAGAATCACCGAAAAACAGGCTGGCCTCGACACGACCCCAGGCAGAGCGTCCGGCCAGACCACTGGCGCAAGATGCAAGGTGAGGTGCTAGGCATTAAAATTATAATTAAAAACTATAATATTGTAAATAAGATATTACGGTGAAATATAATAATATAATATGTGATTCATCCAGCACCACCGAAAAATGCTGATTGGAGAGCTATGAGAACTGCAGAACCGGGGCACGGAGCCATCAATGTAGACTGGAAATTGGTAGACTAAGTAGACTAAAAATTCACCTTATTTCACATTCATGTTTGATTTTATTTTTAATTATTGTTGGAAAATCACGAAATACTACATAAAAAATTGAAATGCGCTATATTCATAATAGATTTAATCAAAAATCCATGAATAACATCCATGCCGGCAAATATTATTAAGGCTGGTACGAGAAATAACGAACAAAGTCGCGCGTACGGTTGTCTTCTATAGCTAGAATTTCTCATGTACTTTAACAAATGATAGTGCACTGCCAAATGCACTAAACCGTTGATATTTTATTTGAGATCAAGTGATTGATGCTGCAATAATAACTGTAGTTTGATTAAGTAATTGGAGTTGAATTAATAATCGTTTAATAACTGTAGTTTGACTGAGTGATTAGTTTCGCAATAATAATGGTAGTTTGATTATTATGTGATTAGTGTTGCATTAATAATCGTAATTTGATTAAATGATTATTGTTACAATAATAACCGTAATTTGATAAAGTGATTAGTGTTGCATTAATAATCAAGGTTTAATTAAGTGATTGGCGTTACATTAACAATCGTGGCTTAAGTGCTAATCACTTAATGGCTAAAGCTAATCAACTAATTATCGTGGCTTCATTAGGCGATTAGCGTTACATTAATAATCGTAGCTTAATTAAGTGATAAGCGTTACATTAATAATCGTGTCTTAATTAAGTGATAAGCGTTACATTAATAATCGTGGCTTAATTAAGTGATAAGCGTTACATTAAAAATCGTTGCTTGATTAAGTGATAAGCGTTACATTAATAATCGTGGCTTAATTAAGTGATTAGCGCTACATTAATAATCGTGGCTTAATTAAGTGATAAGAGTTACATTAAAAATCGTTGCTTGATTAAGTGATAAGCGTTACATTAATAATCGTGGCTTAATTAAGTGATTAGCGCTGCATTAAAAATCGTTGCTTAATTAAGTGATTAGAGATACATTAAAAATCGTGGCTTAATCAAGTGATTAGCGTTACATCAATAATCGTTACTTAATTAAGTAATCAGCGTTACATTAATAATCATGATTTGATTAACTGATTGGTGTTACAATAATAATCGTAGTTTAATCAAGTGATTAGCGTTACATTAATAATCATGGTTTAATTAAGTGCTTAGCGTTACAATAATAATCTTAGTGTAATTAAATGATTAGCGTTACAAAAATAATCGTGATGTGATTACAGACGAACGCTACTTGCGTCCTCTGGACCCGACGGTGGAGGCGCGTTCACGTAGTGAGTTAATTGTTATCTGTCGAGAATTCCTGCGGTGAATAACCTAAAATTCATTCTATCATGTAAATAATTAGATTATTAATCTACTTATATTATAATCAAACAAAAATAATTGATGAAAAAGCTTTTGGTGCTACAAACAATTTTTTTGCTGAAGCTTCTTCCCTTCATTTTAAAACGTATCTCGATTTGATGTATTTTCTCAATTTTATTAAAAATAATATAATTCAAACACAACTACAGAAATATTACTTATCAGAGAAATATAGAAAACTAAGTGAATATTTAAATTATCAAACTGATTTCATCGAACAGAACGAAGACTAGAAATGTTCGAAGTCCGCGTTGTGGCGAAAAACGCGAGCCTCGAGGTGCTAGTGGACAACAAAAAGGTAGGATGTTATAACGATAACTTGCACGTTTTAGTTATTACTGATGGTCTTATTAATATTAACATGAGATTCAATCTCTTAATTTTGTCATCATTCATTTTGAAAATAGTAAGGAAACTGATGTTTTACATTAACTTTGGATGAATCATTTAAATTTTATCTCATTAACTTCATCATGTGTCTGGGACATTGTCATTGGAATTCGTAGAGAATTTTATCTCTCAACGAACACATTACCCAGTCAAGACTCGTCCATTTGAGCAAAACCGTTTGCCACAGATGGCTAAGGTAAAAAGCACACTAAAAGAATACGTTGCTGCGATGGATATACATTAAATTTAGCATTAAGCAATATTTATTTTCCCCTTCCAATTTATACATACATGAGCGACCGTGTATGTTCAATTGTATTAAACAAGTGCACCCTAATTAAAATATAATAACGGCTGACGGCAATCGAACGTCAGTTGTTGTAAACTAACACTCCGAGTGTGCATTTTGGAAATTCCGAACGCTAAAACATCGGATACTAAACAAATGAAAATGTAACAGATACTTTACATCTTGATTACCGTTATCTTTTTACAATCAATTAGTACAGATTAATTTCATTAAAACCTAATTCTTCAACGCACAGTAGACGAATTAGGACGATTTCAAATTTTATATAAAATAAGAAGAAGAAAAAAAAAGGTTCAACATAAGTAGTACTTGAATCATTTGTGCCAGCAATTATATATATAGTGTCATAGTGACGGACGCTGCTAGCCTAGAGCACGGTTGGTGGAGTGCAACTGTTGTTGTACACTGGCTAATTGCGCTGACCGTTATCACACACGTGTAATAACTCGATGCTGGCCAAAGATTAATAAATAATTTTTTAAAAATTAATTTAAATCGGCACAGTTTACATTGCAGTGCTCCAGGGAAATAAGTCATTGCCGCATTTCATGCGGCATTTATCGAGACATAAGCTCTTCATTAAGATGCTTTATATAAATACATATCTGAGATGCTGCTTCTAATGCCATAACAATTGAACTTATAATTACTAAACATAGTTTTTCGCAATGTTCAAATATACGAAAACAGAATCGAAGGAGTGTTGACGCATATTGAGATGAGATGTACAATCGAGATATATATTGATGCGATTAGCATCACTTCGTAAAATACGCCGATAAAGTGAGCACTTTCCCAATGACTCAGGGAGTGAGACATTCCCGTCAGTGAGACGCAAGAAAAGCGCTTCTGGTATACATTGGACTAGGCAAGGAAGTACTGCATTTTGCAAAGAACATACTGTAACTTAGATTGCTCAAGCATCTGAGAATACTCCACATTTTCTTAGAAAAGTAAACATTTCATGAGATGATTTCTCGTGTTGGTTCTTCAAAAGCTTTACGTGGAAATAATATGTCAGGTGTACAGCGCGGCGGGCGAGGCGTCGGACGGCGTGCACGCGCTGGCGCTGTCAGGCGACGGAGAAGTGATGCTTCGCCGCGATTTCCGTACGGGACAACCGGCCGAGACTGAACTGCTTGGCCAAACCCTGACCAACCTGCAGCCCGGGGTTCTGGTCGTCTTGGTCATGATGGTGAGTGTGTTGGTCAGCCCGCACAGACTGAACTGCTTGGCCAAACCCTGACCAACCTGCAGCCCGGGGCTCTGGTCGTCTTGGTCATGATGGTGAGTGTGTTGGTCAGCCCGCGGAGACTGGACTGCTTGGCCAAACCCTGACCAACCTGCAGCCTGGGACTCTGGTCTTCTTGGTCATGATGGTGAGTATGTTGGCCAAATTTGAAGGATTGATTAATTGATCACACCCTTAACAATATTCTGCTAGAGACCTGACTTCATTTTCCAAGTTAAAATTTTTACAGTGCGAATTTTCGTGCCTATTAATATTAATACGTGAACTGGACAATCGTAAGGTAATTAATGTTTTGCTTTATTCAGTTCTCCGCCGGGGACTTCCTGAGAAGCACAGAGCGCATGCTGCTGCACCACCTGGGGATGAGGGGCGACACCGTCGGAGGAGCCCTCAAGTTAGGTGAACCTGCTTGATGCTGATGTCATAGTGATCATTCAAGTAGGCTTTCTAACCTGCTTTGCTAGTAGATGCAGGAAATAGGCTCGTATCCATACCTCATCTCCTACCTATTCATCCAGGCGCTGACGTGGCGCAGGGGATAGGCTCGTCTCCATACCTCATCGACGACGCACAACGAAAACGAAGGGCAGCTGCAGGTCTAGATAAAATTTATGCAATGCCTTTCAAAGTGCTGAAGCTTACGAGCGATGGAAAAGAAGTGACGGAGAATGTGCCGAACCAAGAGAATAAACTTTTTATATACAATGGATACGTTGACACTGATGATCCTTCCGTAGTGATCAGTGTGGTTCCCGACAACTGGCCGCCTCAAAATCCTGAGGTATTCGTAATTGTACAACTTTTCGTCAAAAGCATCAGGTTCCGCCAGCGTGATTTTCTGCCCAATAAAAATTTTATCAAGATGAATTTGGGAAAAAACTTCTCTTTGTATTCATAACCAACCATGCTATGAAGACTAAAGTGGATTATGCAAATGTGTATTATGCATTGTGAACTGTGATCAGGCAAAGCTGGCGGCGCGCGTCTATCTGGAGGCAGCCGTAATCTTCAAAGGCAGCAAGAATGAGCAATCAAACCTAAACCTTTCAGTGCTCATACCGAGAGTTAAAGGCAGGTATAGTTGCAGGTGTCGTCAAACAACATGAACTATATCTGTGATTATAAAATAACATTAAACATAAATTCGTATATTTTCTCTTTCTAGGGTTAGTTACCCGTTCATTAACGAACAAATTTAAGATTAATATACAAAAAATACGCTCCTCTGAAAATTACTAAAACATTGATTAAAGTAATTCAGTACTGATCAAGTTGACAATGCTGCAATAAAAGTTTTCAAGACACTCAGAGGCTAGAAAGAGGCTGGAGTACGGTGTGAGGCAAGTTTATTGTTTACAGGTACAGGGCTGGTGATGAACTGAACATTACAAAACTTAGCTAATCAGGTTGACAAAAATTGAGCCTATTTCTTTAGTGGATGAAGTAAGAGAAGTACGGATGGTTTCTACACTTCTTGAAGCTTACGAACAATAATTGATGTCCATATTTATGGTTGTTGATGCATACATTACTAGCAAAACTCAACACCTACTATCACTCCTGCAGGACCAGAATGTGACTGGCACCGGGACCCCCGGCGACAGAAGCAGGCGCAGTTTTGTCGCCGCCACGAAGGGTACGGGACTTTGTGCCGCTGCAAGGACCCTTTGGACCCCCAGTGGCTGCGACGGTCCTCGGTGATTTCCACAAAGTGTTCGAAAAAACTGTATAAACAATTTATAGTCGATATTTCTTCGGAAAGATTTTGTATTCAACAATGGATTTTACATTAAGTAATAAATTAAATAAAATTCAATTCATTTTATTGATGAAAATTTTCACTAGATACTTTTAAAATGCCCCGTATTGGTCATCGTCTCAGTACAAAATTTCACAAAATCTATTCCTAACGAAATAAAAGATGGACGAGACAACTTCAGTGAGTCTCCCTGTATTTTGTCTGCTCATTACACATATTTTTATATGATTGGCTAATTTTGAGATACATTAAACTATGACTAACGACGACCAATGCACCCACAGGGCAAAATCCCAATGTCGGAGGTCATCCCCGTCGCCATGCTCACCGCCACCAAGTGCCACTTCTTCTACCGGCAAGTGTTGTATAATAAGAGACAATGTGTCTCTCCCTGATTATGGTTATGATTACTAGGGATAAATAATGATATGGCATATCTGATAAGGTTACTAATGTATCCTCCAGGCAGCTGATAAGTCTGCTGCTAGCTAAGGGTGCGGCGCAAACCGACATTTTGGTTCTCACCGATGGTCATCAGGAGGAAACTGCGCAGCTGGCCGCCATCTTTGAGTAATTTCCACTCGAAGTTTCCACTCTAGACTTTTTACCAATTTTAATAAATTGACATTGAAATGATAAAGCTGATAAAATTATTATCTTGCAATAAAATGATTATCTTGCTATAAAATGACGCATAACATTTAAATTTCCGAGGGAGCGTTGCCTCCACAGGAATTTTGAAGGTGAATTTGGCCTAAATTCTCCAGTGAATTTGAATATTTGCCCATAGTTCAGTTATCTATCGACCCACGCTCCAAATCTCATGAGATTTTTCTAGCTGTTGCAGGTTGTAAATAAAACTCATTTGCTGCCCAGTCTGCCGGTAATCGAGCACCGCCACGAGGGAGACGCCGGCACCAGCACGCCCCTCAACGCGCACTTCAGATTTTTTGGCTGCTGGACGCTGACGCCACATTATACGCTACTTTATTTTTCTCTGCAGCTACTTCCACCAGACGGCGTGGCTGCTGGACGCTGACGCCACACTCTACGTCGTGAACAGCTTCTCCCTCAACAGCTTCCCCACGGTCGCCGCTGACGTCTCACGTGTCAGGCGCTCACAAATGTTCCCCCAGTTCGGCTGGATGGTCACTAGGAAATACGCCCAGGAAGTCATTCACTCCTGGGTCGATAATTCAGTAAGTACGGCAGCAGTCGCCGAATTAATGTAATATTTTCATATGTTTTACCACACAATGCCATGCCTGTAAATGAGGAGTCAAGGAAGTTTGTTTTTAGCGTTAATAATACAATAAATATTAACCAAAAATAAATCGATTATCCCGAGTAAATTTGACCTGCAGAAAACATCTGTGGACTGGGACTGGTGGCTACACGTTATGCCTCTTCGTCGGGGACGGCACGCCTTGGTCCCGGAAGTGTCCCGAAGTTTCCACTCTGGTTCGTCTGGAGCTCATATTACAGGATGGGACCAGGCACTCATATTCTCTAACATGATCTACAACCGCGACCCAGACGTCAAACTAAATGATTTACACTTGTAAGTAGCTTCATATTTCCAGCGAGATTATATTGTTACATTTTTTGTTTACTTCAGGTGATTTAACGTACCATTGAACCACACAAAAATTCCTGAATTTTTCTGAATGATTTCATGTCTCTTGATGATTGAATTTGATTCATTAACAAATATGCGTAGACTAAATATTTATCAGAAGGCGTAATTGCAAATGTAAAAACTGACTCTCACTAAAACGTACTTATACTTATACTTATCCACTTACTCACGTACTACAACGACATTCTGCTATGTATGTTTCGATGGACATTGCACTATTTAGAGACATCAATGAGTATTCCGGAGCATCTAGCAATGTATCGAAGCATCTAGTGAATTCTCTAAACATTTTACAATACCCTGACCTGCCTAGCGGTATCTCAAAAAAATATACAATATCTCGATAAGCATTGCAAAATTTAGTAACATCTTGAAACATTTTTACAGACTGCAGGCAGACGTATACGCAGACTACATTTCGAGTGAACTCAAGAGGTCGAAAATATTGTCAATAGAAGACGGATTTCGTCCCTGCAGCGTGGACACCATTCCAGCACACATGGTGAGTGTTGCACTTAATTGTGTTACGCTAAAATAAATGCATAATTTTAATTAGAGTTGAGTGGCTTTCCTTGTATTTCGATAATTGTCGTCTTGTTTTTTTCCGAGTTAATTGCATCCTAATTTTAATTGAAATCATTATATTACGATGAAGTGTTCCATCAATTATTGAAGAAATAAGACAATAATGGTATAAATGTTATTAACTAACCAATTCAATAACCAATAAATGCTATTTAAAAAATATAGATATACGAGTGAACATTAACCGTCCGTAGGTGCGCTCTGGTTTGACTTGAATGTTTATAGAAATGCCCGCAATTTGGTCATGATAACGTTGCATTTTTTGCCTCTGACCCAGTCTTCCCGTCACAATGAAACATGTACATTAAGGGTATCCTACAACGCCAAATCACGGCATCCTTCGCTGGCTGTTCCTGCTGATCTGCGTCCTGCGGGATGCTGCTGCTGGTGTCCTACTCTGCAACACTCACGTCTGTCCTGGCGGTTGCCGACACGTGCCAGATGTGTCGTTGTAGGATAATGTAGGATAATGATTCATAACTAATATCATCGCTACGTCCGCTCTTTGCTGGTGCTTTGGTAAGAAAGTGTGTCAATATCTGGACAAAATAGCTATTAATTTTTTATTGATGAAAGCATTTTGATACTCAACAGCGGCCTGGTCCAGTCGTCGTCCGTCTGGAGGCTAACTCTTACAGCGATAAGCATTCGTCGCTTATGTTATTCGCCAGGGTAAGCGATATATCACAAATTGCTTAATCACTAGCACAATTATTTGAAAACCGTCATAAATACGTTATTAAGATTAAAATAGATGTCTCCTGATTCAAGGAAATCTTCTTCAAGCGTTTTAGCGTAAAAGTTTTAATATTTTTTTAATAAATTTGGCTATACCAAATAAATATCAAATTCATATTTTTAGTCTCATTGTCTTTTACCCAATTTGAAGGGGGCCATACTATATCCCATTAAAGGATGCATACTCCTTGTATACGCGCCCGTATATAACCCCTAAATTAATTTTATCGATGAGATCTTGAATACTTGAAGTTTTTTAATAAGTTGACGCTGCAGAACGATATCTGATCTTAAATTCATCCAAGTTTAGTTAAGTCACGCCTAAAAATTATTAAATCATGAAATGATACTTTGCAAAACTAAATCAATTCCACGAGTATAAGGGGGAGGTATACCCTAAAATTTTCGGATTTGGCTTTTCTGGTATTTAGTATCGTCTTAAAGCTGACATTCTGCCCTATCCAATGATACCACTGCGATACCTGTACGTGAATTTTTACTTACATGACGGCTCTTTAAAGGGGGCGGGTGGGGGAGTTCCTCCACTAATTAGATACAAGGTAATTAGCTGCTGAGCATTTTAAATATAGTTTCTACTTGAGTTGTACTGCAGTTACGTGCTTAGTCTCATCTTAAAGCTGACATTCTGAGCTTTTCAATGATACCACTGCGATCCATGTACGCGAATTTTTACGTACACGGCTGCTTTTTAAAGGGGGGCGGGGGGTGGAGTTCCTTCACAAAATAGATGGGAGATATTTCACTCGCTAAGACTACATATATTGGTGTATCTGGCATCAAGCCTTAGTCACCCTGTTCGCTTCGTACGGAGAGGTGTGCTGCAAGTCGCTGCTAGCGTCCTTGAGTGGAAGGAAGCTTCAGAAGCCTGTAGTTTGGTACCTATGCTACATTGAGTGACTATTTCAAGGCGCGCGGAACTTTGTCGCGCTGTCCTGAAAAGTTCAACTTTTTGTCACGGAAAAGCCTACTCCTAGAGTTTTAAAGCTACAGCAATGAGACATATACCATTCTATTTGTAAATACCATACCTATCGATTAACGAAGCCTTTTTTAGATTTGTGCATAGTTTGGATTCAAAATGGGGGGAAGGGGGGGTGAAATGAGAAAAAATGAAAAAATTTTTATATGCGTGTAAAAAAACTAAGGCGAAAATAGAAAATCGGGCTTCGTTAATCGATTGGTATTGTCTTTACGAGTGGAATGGTATATGTCTCATCGCTGTAGCTTTAAAACTCTAGGAGGAGTAGGCTTTTCCGTAGTACCCCTTTTTGCCGTTTTCTATGAATTTCACGTTTTCTATGCATTTTTTCGAAAAAATCACACAAACAAAATGTGATTCTTTTGTGATTTTACATATATGTGTGAAGTTTCAGAAAGATCCGGTCGTAAACAAAAAAGTTTTTTCGGAGGGTATACCTCCCCTTAAACACATACAGTATATTAATGAAATTATCGACAATAACTTAAAAAGGCTGCTATTTCTAAACAATACTTCTGATTAATATAGAAATCAATGTGCCCACAGTGCCTACACACTTACCCTGATCACGCTTTTGACAACTACGAGGGTGTGGTGCAGTACACCATCACAAGCATCACCCCACACACCACACTGTACGCCGTGGCCTGTCCCATCTCACCATACTGGTATGTGTAATGTACTAGTGCGTTAAATAAACTTTAAATTACTAATATATCCAGCCAAAGTAAGCAAATTGTAAGATGATAATAATTGATAACTTACGCTTACGTTCATTACATTTGGATCTTCAATTACATTATAACACTTTCTAACCCTTGAAATGTATATATTAATAACGCATATTCCCTATCTACTCAGTGGGTTCATTGAGAACGCCACTATGACGTCACCACGGGAAGGCGCCGTGGTCCGAATATCAAGTAGGGACAAACGCTGGAGGCTTGCTAGGTGGTACAACAACACCGAAGACGTTAGGTATTACAACCACAGCGCCACGTATTATGGTTTGATATGAATTAATGCTAAAACCACATCATTAAAACCACATTATTGCTTAATTAATGATGAAACCACAGCGTCACGTATTACGGTTTGATGTGAATTAATGCTAAAACCACATCATTAAAACCATATTATTGCTTAATTAATGCTGAAACCACAGCGTCAAGTAATATGTTTTGATGTGAATTAATGCTAAAACCACATCATTAAAATCACATAATTGCTTAATTAATGCTGAAACCACAGCGTAAAGTAATATGGTTTGATATGAATTAATGCTAAAACCACATCATTAAAATCACATAATTGCTTAATTAATACTGAAACCACAGCGTCAAGTAATATGGTTTGATATGAATTAATGCTAATACCACATCATTAAAACCACATCATTGCTTAATTAATGCTAAAACAACAGCGCCACGTATTACGGTTTGATGTGAATTAATGCTAAATGTGTTGCATCAACCACAGTTCATATTTTCAAAGACCTATGTGATTTGACGTGTTGGTAAGGAATTGGTTTATAAAATTCGTGAAATAGAGAGTTTCTTTGAGGGTTAAACTGATAGAAAGCCAACTGTTTCATTGTTCATTAATGACTAATAAATATTAAATGCCCACTACTGCAATATCAGGCTGCACGCTAGTACGATACGGTTAACGCTGGACATATTATGGTGCTTCCTGCATATTCATTTATTGATTATTTAACTTTAATGTTTTCAGTATTTTTTTAGAATACGGTTCAGCCGATTGTATCCTAGATAACAATAATTGCTGGGTTGTAATAAAAAAATTAATATATCTTTCTTTTCCTATATCCTTGTGAGGGTTAAACATTAACTATCTGCAATCATCTATTTACATCTGATTTGAACTCTAATTACCTCGATAGAGAGTGAATGGAGGGTAAATATGTATAAGAAACATGGCCTAGTTAGAAAATAGTGAGCGAGAGAGATTTTTTAGCAGCATTTTTTTTGTAAGTAAAGGCGTAAAAATAGTGCCGCCCCAGGAATACAAGCGCTATGATTATAATTAATTAGTGCTTTACCGGGGCTTCTTATGAGAGTGCGACCCAAGCTTTGATCGCTAGTAAACCTTACATTTTGAATAAAATATTATATCCATTGCCTAACACCAGCGGTAGCATCAACTAGCACACATGTGTGACTAGCACACATGTGTACTAGTCAACCTAACAAAGTCAACGTCAGAAGAAATCAGGCTCTTTTTAATTCCAATATTATTTTTAATGTGAACACACATTAAAATTCTAATTCTCTAAGGCCTAAGCAATCGTCGATGGCTGAACAATTTAAGTCTATTGAAATGAATTCTGTCATTTAATACTGGGATTGTATGGTGTTGTCACATCATACAACCTGCCGTATATTTTATTACAGCATAAAGCGTGCGAGCATATACAGGGTGAACCAGAATTAACTGACCCTTTAAATTTGTTAATAAATAAAAAACTAAGAACGTTATGAAGTTGAAACTTGTTTTATTTAAAAGAAGAACATTTTTATGGTAATATTGTATCCTAGTTTTTAGGATACAATAACTAACTAGGATACAATATTACATACAATATTTTAGCTAATACATATTATTAATACATTATAAATATTTTATCTAATACAATAATAAAATATTGTAATAGGATACAATATTTTAACTAGGATACAATATTACCATAAAAATTTTCTTCTTTTAAATAAAACAAGTTTCAACTTCATAACGTTCTTAGTTTTTTATTTATTAACAAATTAAAGGGTCAGTTAATTCTGGTTCACCCTGTATATGCGCATCGCAGCCAAATTGGTGGTACCGATAGTTGGAATATTAATTTGTTGAATATATGAGGAATAGCTTATGGTGTTTAAGTTCATCAATCTTCCAAATCTAGTTGAGATTTAGAGAAATTCGTAAGCTGCATCGAAAAGACAAGATTTTTAGTAGATCAAGAGGGTATGTTGAAGTTATTAAAGAAGTTGTTCTTGAAGAAACAGAGAATACTAAAGGAATTGTGACTCTTCATGAAAAAAGTGAACATGTAAATAAAGAAAATTAGCCTCATAGTATAAAAAACCTGAATACTGAATTCTAATTCAAAGGAGAGTACAATACTTATAGTAAGGAAAAAAATATTTAGAACTTATATACACAATTTAAAACATTCTGCGAAGGATTTTGAAATCTTGTTAATGAAGTCCGTTTGAATTCCGATGTACTAATGAGCACTGAGACAAATATTTGAATTGCCAATCCTATGGTAGGGACATATTCAACATACGGTAGCACAATCGCTGAATTAATCTACTGTAACATGTATTATATTATCAATCCTAACGGGGTCATAGATGAACCGAATTGTTCGGTAAAAGGAAATCATTAAATGCAAGAATCTACCACAATTTCTAATTATCGTAAGAACTGCAGCGAATATCCTTGGGCGAAGGATCAAGTCTTACCTCAAGTGGTCGATCGAGCGCTCGCGTCCGCAGGAATTACCGGGGAAAGTTTGCGAAGGGAAGCCCGAGTTTAATTCTTGGTAAAAAAATTCAAAAATACCAGCTGCATTCCTTACATTACATTGCAAAATAATCATTGCATTATATTACATTGCGAAATATCTTATCTACATTCAGGTACGACCAATGGTTCAATGCAGATTTTACTGCAGCTTATCTCAAGAACGTAATACACTTTTGAGACGCTGAAGATTATTAGACGCCAGTTCTACGTTAACTATTGATATTCGACGTCGTTCACCTAAGATTGTGACCTCATTTTCGTATTTATATTTTATGTGTTCAACTTAACGAAATTTCATGTCAAAATAATTCCGACGAAACCTTAACATTATTTGGCGTCATTTCACGAAAAGAGCGCTTCTCATTAGTGTTCCAATTTTAAATTCATATATATAAAATAATCTGCATGCCTTTTGGTGATAATTTACCTATTCTGCATCACACAATTTATTGAATAGAAATTTGCGAGAATTTAAAAGCTTAATCTGCTCGTAAAATGACATCAAGCGATTTATATTGCCAAAAAGATTTATAAAACATTTTTTCTATTTTAAATAGTTCATACCTAAATTTAAATTAGGCATTGAATAAATTACCCCGTTTATTCCTGCTTCCCGCACCTGGAGCTCAAAATATTAGATACAGTACCAAGTAGCGAATTTTGAAACCAATGTAAATTAGCATTGTGAACGAACCTGTAAGAAAATGAGGGTGCATCATACATATTTTTTTCTCAACGCTGCGTTGCAACATTTCGTTTGCCCGTCGCTTACGGTGAGAAGAACAACGATGATGAACAATAAATCATTGTTTCTAGAGAACGATGACGGGAATCTGATAGTGCAACAAACTTATGCAAACATATATAATATTAAAAGTAATAATGCATTCAATTTCATAAGAAATAGCAACAACAACAAGAACAGTTGTTAGGTCAACAAAATCTATAATCATCTAAATAACGATATAAGTAAAAACATAATGAACGCATTCCGACACGTACACAAGAAAAGCGTCTTGCCTGACCACTGGCGTAAACTGTACGGTGAGATATCAAGTAATCTGTTATACATTTAGGATTATTTTGATTATTTGCGTAATTATATTGTAATTTGAAAACCAGAGCGTGCTTTTTATTAATAATCTTCTTGTTCGTTTTTTAATGAGGCGAACAAAATTTCTTGCTGGCGCCGGGAGATCTAAAAAGCAGGTTTCCAAATGACATTTTAATAGATTGCAACGTTTCGAAAATAAAATTTTCATTATCAAGCTGGTGCATAGCTTGCATAAATGAAAAGTTTCTGCTGAACTACCCCAATTATATTGTAATACACAGGAGCAAAGCAAGCGCGTATCCTAAATACATACTGTGTCGGGATATTACCGATACCTGATATTCTTTAGATTTCCCCGGGAATCTTGAGGCTTGTAAAGACTAGCTTGCATCGAGGAATACCAATTCAGTTATAAAACGCCGTCTGAATATGTAATGCAAATGAGGAGTCATCGTTTTTTTACTCAATGATTAACATTATATTATAAGTTAATTTATATTAGGACTGAGTTGCAAGTAGAATTATAATGCTAGCAGAGAGAATTATTTGATAGCCTTAAATCTCAAATATTTTCTATCCCAAGAAACGTAGATATCTATTTTGTGAAATATGGTACCGATTGAGAAATATTTATATGCACGTTGTCAAGCATCAAATTATAACATGAATACATTTATTTTCAGTCCCTAAACAGAATAAAAATTATAGAAAACTACATTTTTTCCGGCATTGCTACTACCAATTGGGTGGTATATTCATAGCTAAGAAACCAATATAGTTCAGAGGTCCTTCTATTTTAGAAGCTACTGGGAAATTAAAAAAAAACTTTTGTGATAGAAGAAATTGGGTAATAAATTACAATATATATTTTTTATTCGCTACGCATTATTTGTCGGTATAAAATAATCACAAAATATTTCCTGGTCCAATTGACAACTTGAACTGAAGAATCTTCCAATTTGTCTGCAATATTTGTAATTAGCTTGAAGAACTATAATTTAACGCCCTATTTCATTGAATTATAATTTATGCCAAAAATTCTGAATATTTTATTTTAATCTGATATTCCTTTCTAATTTTTAATCAAAATCTTCAAACTTATTTAAGACTCCAAGTTAACGTCTACGCGGATTATTTTTCGAATGAACTCATATCATTAGTCTGCTTATATCGCAAGTTCACAAGGAATTTAAAAGCAAAGAAAACGCCAAGAAAATTCACCATATCGATATTGAAAACGTTTCGGAGTCCTGGGAGACGCCGGCACCAGCACGCCCCTCAACGCGCACTTCAGATTTTCTTTGTTCACGGCCTTCTCGACCTTCCGCAACGCCTCTAAAGTCATCATCTTGGAAGACGACCTCATCGTCTCGCCTGACTTCATCAGGTTAGTTTATCCTACATGATTTGTAGCA